ATAATCTCACTACTTTTAGGTCGAAAATGATACAGTTGTTTGTTTTAAAGCAGAACCGTGGAGAAATTATTGTGTTCAGCCACCTTGTGGCCAATTGAATCCTACTAGCGAAAAAGTATACGAAATTCTCGAAGGAATATATAGAGACATGATTCAGGATTTTCAATCGGACCTGTTTCATATGGGTGGAGATGAAGTGAATATAAATTGTTGGAACTCTTCAGTTGTTATTACAAATTGGATGCAAACAGTTGAAAATTGGGATCTATCAGAATCAAGTTTCTACATGCTTTGGAATTATTTTCAACAAAAAGCAATGGACAAGTTGAAAATTGCTAATGATGGAAAGGATATACCTATTATTTTATGGTCTAGTGGTTTAACCAATGAAAAAAATATTAAATATTTGGATCCTGAGAAATATATCATTCAAGTATGGACAACCAAAGATGACGCTACTATTGGAAGATTGTTACGAAATAATTTTAAATTAATTATTTCTAATTACGACGCTCTCTATTTAGATTGTGGGTAGGTAAATAAGTATTTTCGAATTATAATATTGTGGACAATAAGCAACTATTCTTGCACAGAGTCAAGATAATTTTCCTCCTCCAATCCATCCAAGTGATCTGCGAATCTTTATTTGCAAAAGGAAAAAATTCACAAAAAATTAATCATTTTCGCCTCTTTCTGCGATATTCTGCGAAAAGATATGAAACATATTCTTACGGATCTCAGTTCTAATTCTAGCAGTGCAATTCTTGTCATTCGTTTTGCGATCTACTTCCTAGATCACATGTAGACATTGAATAAGCTATTCTCAAATCATTACTTTCAATTTCTTTGTAAGAAATCCAATATATTTTTAGTATTCGATTTTAGTATTCTTCACTTTTTCTTTCGTTTATGTTTTTTCTATTAGTTTTTCAGCCTGGATAGGGGAAGGTAATAATTGGTGTGCTCCTTACAAAGGATGGCAGATCATTTATGACAATTCTCCATTGAAAATAATTAAATTGCAACATCTCGAAAGTAAAAGACATCTTATATTAGGTAAATATTTTTTTACGTTAAACTATAAAGACTATATTGTTATGATTATAATATTTGATTTCGAACCTTTCATTGTATATATATTTAAATACGAAAGTAAGCAAATTAGTAAACAGAGAAATCCAATCATATATATATATATATAT